ATTATTGGGGAGCCCCCCAAAGAAATCAAACTTGGCATCTTTGGAACTTTCTCCCTAAGGGAATATTACCACGAACCACTAAGGTGTTCTAAATGCCAACGATTTGATCACCACGTTAGTAAATGTCGCTCGAATCCTCGTTGTGGGGTATGTTCCGAAGCACATTTAACCGAAATATGTATAAACAAAATCAAGGCTGGAACTCGCCCACCTGCAAAGTGCCCAAATTGTAACATGGGTCACCACGCCTGGAACCCCTACTGCAGAGAAAGACGCAAAAGGCTGAACTTACCTACTGAAGAAAGTACCTCAAAACCTTTAAACAGGTTTAATAACCGTACTCCTAAACAGCCTCCTAGAACAAATGCTCCAAAATTTTCCAGCATTCCTACTAACTTAGGTAGAAGCTATGCAAGTGCTGTTTCTACAACAGAAGATAGTCCTAATCCATCTGTAGCTTCTCCCTCTTTCCAGAGTATACCCATCAACAATGACAATGAAAACTCTAATCAGAACATAGAGTTTCTTTCAACTATCCTTCAAATGGGTCTAATCTTTGTCGGTAAACACATAGACAAGCACATCGTCAAAGACGTGGTTGCTAGTGTGTTGACAATGTCTAAGGATACCCCCACCTCCATAAAGAATTTCCTTATCACACCAAACAGAGAAACGCTTCAACCATCAGATGTGTCTACCAGAGATGCACCTACATCCACAGGAAACAGAAATCAAGAAGAAGAGCTCACAAATGAGCCCAGCAACATCTCGAAAGACGAATTCATGGAACTGAATTCTGACCCTTTATCACAACGCAAAAGAACACGTAGATCTTCCTCCGGCAGTGATAGTGATTCTTCTGACTTACCACAGAAATATATCACCAAGGAAATTCCACTTACAGAAATTAGTATACCTCAAGTGAATGAGGCACAATTTATCCCTTCTCAAGATGGTTCGCCTCCTGTCATACATATTCCTGAACAGGATGCTGATAATGCAAGTAAAACAATTCTGGACAATCGGAAAGATACACCATATAAATCAGGAAAACAGACACAATATGTCTAATAACCATATGAATACAAACAGTATTAATCTACTTCAATTAAACATTTGCGGTTTAAAAGCCAACTTCCCCCTACTAAGCCTAGCTCTCGCTGAAGAAAGATATGATATAGTAATTCTTCAGGAAACACTTCTTAAGACAGGCATTAACATTAAAAACTATACTGGTTATCACAATTATTATCAACCTGGCCTAAATAGAGGCACATCAATATTAGTTAGATCTGATATCCAGTCTTCCCCAATAGATCTTCAGATGGACTGTGGTCGTGGTGTTGAGCACCAAGGAGTCTCCATTTCCTTACAGGATAGAGATTTCAACATTTTTAATATTTACAGACCGCCTCATGACACTGCAAAACTTAAAATAGACCATATTTTTGCAATAGTTAATGACTCGCACTCCATCCTATGTGGCGATTTTAATGCTCACAATCCTATTTGGAACAACCCATCAAATTCCTCAGCAAACAAAATCTGTACTACAGGCCGCTATCTTGAGCATCTACTTCAAGACTTCTCAGAGGTATCGCTGGTTAACCCGAATGTATCTACTCACAACAAAGGTGGTGTTTTAGACCTGATCTTTGTATCAGCTCCTCTTCTCCCAATTACTCGCTACTCCATGCACCCATATCTGGCCTCAGATCACTTTGCACTAACTGCCATCATAGAGATACCTAGGATACAAAGTCCTCCATCCTTTCTTAAATGGAACTTTAAAAAAGCCAACTGGAAACTTTTCCAAGAAAACATGGAAAACTGGGCCAATAATTATACACCATCTGATAATTTAGAGCAAATTGAATCTGATGTGGTAAATGGCCTTCATGAGGCAGCAAATCACGGTATACCTCAAATTACCTCAAAGTTTACATCACATACCAACTTTTGGTACTACAATAGCAGAGTCAAAGAATTAAAACACCGGTTACTCATCCTTCGGAAAAAACTTAAGAAGAACCCAACTCAGGAAATCCTTAAATCGTATCGAAATGCCTGCAAATTGATCAGAACAGAAATTCAGGAAATCAAAACAAACTCATGGCTGAAGTGGTGTGAATCCTTAAATGTAAACACCTCTTTAAGCGATTTATGGAAAAAGCTAAATTTAATATCAGGAAACTTCAGGAAACAGCCACTTCATCCACATCCAAAGAATGAAGCAGACTATTTGATTCAGATGTTCAAAAACAGAAGTGATAAATCTCAACTTCCATTGAAAACACAGAAAAGTCTCGAAACACTTCTCCCTAAAAGAAATGAGGTAATTTGTCAGGCTTTTCAGGTATCTGCTGAGTCTGACAATCCTTTCACCCTAAATGAAGTGAAAAGAGCTCTTAAAACCAGTGCTGATACTGCTCCCGGATCGGATAAAGTGTCCTATTCAATGCTGAATCATCTCGGTACGAAAGCTCTGAAGATGTTACAGCTACTTTTTAATAAATCACTAGAAAGTGGCTGTCTTCCCACAAATTGGAAAACTGCCATAATTCAGCCAATTCCCAAAGAAGGACCGAACAGATCATTCCGCCCTATCTCTCTAATATCCTGCATAGGCAAAACTATGGAAAGAGCCATCCTAGCAAGATTAAATTATTTAATACCTCATCCGCATCCGAATATTTTTGCTTACACAAAAGGACTGAGTACCAAAGACAATTTAGCATCTATTTATGCCTTAATAGACGGTAATGATAGTGGTCACCTTTTTGGACATAGAGAAAGCCTTTGAGTTGGCAAATGGAACAGTCATTTTAAATATTCTGGCTTCAAAAAAAGTGACAGGAAATATCCTCAGATGGACATCAGACTACCTCACAAGCAGAAAAGCCCAGGTCAGATTTCAGGGCACTCTATCTGATATCCTCACATTTGAAAATGGTACACCTCAAGGAGGAATACTCAGCCCTTTTCTTTTTAATATGCTCATATCTGAATTAATATCGATTCCTTTACCAGCGAACACTCACCTGCTTGCTTATGCGGATGATTTGCAATTAATTGCCATAGGAAGAAACAGGTATGTCCATTCACAGATGGCTCTTGACCAACTAAGAAAAAAATGCCAATTTCTTGGACTTATGATCAACTCAAATAAGACCAGAGCTCTACAAACAGGACACAGTTTAGATAACCAGTGGCTTTATATAGAAGATAAGAGAATTGAGTGGGTTACTTCACACAAATGTTTAGGAGTATTCTTCAACTCACAGAGCGACTCGTCCACACACCTACAATATCTCTTAGGAAAACGAAAGCCAGAATAAATGTTATGAAAAGGATTACCAGAATGGACAAAGGTGCAGGCTTTCATGTCCTACGATCCTTCTACATTCATGCAATAAGATCTGTAATAGATTATAGTTCAATTGCTTTGATGAACCTTTCAAAAACTGAAATCTCAAAGTTGGAGACAATCCAAAACAAATGTATGCGACTCATCTTAGGAGCACCGAAATGGACCAGACTAGTAAACCTGAGAGAGGAATCTCAACTAGTCTCATTAGAAACCAGAATACAACAGATGGTCGCAGGTATTGTAAGCAAGGTTGTATCAAGGCATGACAATCCTCTCGCCAAATCTTTTAAAAAACTGATAAATAAAGCACACACCATTACTCCACGGATGGTGTGGCACAGAAAAATACTTAACTCCCTTGAAGAGTTAAATCTCCTACCTGTAATTAAGGAAAGAGGGTTAGACATCTCTCACCCTAATTACACCATGAAAAACCTTGGGTCTCTCCACTTGCGAACTTTCACTTCAATACATTACCGTTGCCCAAGGCATTGTGCAATCTCCAAACCTTTTACCATATCCAAGAAATTGTACATCAAATATCAACTCGACAAGACACAGCCACAATATTCACAGATGGTTCTGTAGATCAGCGCACGGGAAAAGCTGGATCTGCCTTTGTGTGTGGTGACTTCCTAAGGCTAAACGTATATCAGACAACTCATCAACATTGCAAGCAGAACTGGTTGCAATCAAAGATGCCCTTAATTACAGCATTCAGTTAGTGAACAACACCATATATATAATGACGGACTCCCTTTCAGCCATACATTCACTCCAAAAGATTCCTCCAAATGACAACATCAGATTGATCACGACGATACTTTTTAAACTTCAGCAACTAACAGAGCAAGGAAAAGCCATCAACTTTATGTGGATCCCAAGTCACTCAGGTATTAAACAAAATGATCAAGCAGATAGAACAGCTAAAGATAGTCTTAAGCAGAATCATGTCTCCTCTGTACAACCAAGTCTCGGTTTCATTAAGAAATTAGCTAAAAGAACTTCCTTCCAGATATCACTAATACAACATCAAGTTTGGGCTCAAGTGGGTTCCTCCTCTGCACGCTGGTATCAAAAAGTCACCAACTATGAACGCATTATTATACCTCGTTCCATGGGAAGGAAAGAAGCCGTCATTCTCCATCGCCTTCGTCTTGGATACCGCTGTAACTGGGAAATAAATGAAAGGAAATCCCTCAGAAACTGTCAATATTGTGATGCCACAGTCTCAGAGCCACTTTTACACTACATTCTTGCATGTCCTGTACTTGAGGACATCAGGCCACACCAGTACAAAAGATACAACCTACAAGACCCCAGCGATGCCTCTCTGCAGCAGACTGTATCAGCCAAATACTCAATAACGAAAAATCATTTTACACATTATGCAAAACACCTCCTCCCAGATAATCAAATGTAAAATTAAAACTATAAAATAGAAATTGTAATCACTTAACTTACTTAAAAATAAAACCTAAAATAAAAGACCTATTACCGGGTGGCTTAAGCGAAACCCGGACTACTCCAGCTCTTTCGGAGTAGTAAATTTTAAAAAAAAAAAAAAAAAAAAAAAAAAAAAAAAAAAAAAAAAAAAAAAAAAAAAAAAAGCTTCCAGGCACTCACTCGAGCCTCTTCCTCTGCACGACGTCGCTCGGTCACACTCTGCAACATGACACTGAAGGTTGGGTCCGCGGGGGAAGCGCTTTTCGGAATAGAAAGATATACATTTGTGTAAGAGTGGAAGCCTTGCGCGTGTGGGCCAAGTTGTTTCTAAAAGTCGTCACTTGCGCAGTTCAGTTTGCAGCTTGTCCGAAGATGAGTGGCTCGTTGTTGCATGACTGTTGTTTTGCATGGTGTGACGTTAGTGATGGATGAGACATTAATTATCCATCGCTTCTACGCTATTCAAATGGGTTGTCATTGATGGCACAACCTAGTACGGTTCAGTTTAATTGATATATCTTTTTGGGTCCACACTTGAGCCAATGCACGCGGCGCGGTAGACAGCACTTCGACAACTTTGCGTGATCAACAAATAATCCCGACTATACTACTTAAGTGTAATTACGACAGTGTTACAAGGGATGCATTTAGGCCTACGTGATTGCGAACTGCCTCCGATAATAGCAATGCAAAAATGTTAGATGTAAAGGTTATTATCATAGCAAAAATATGTACTCTTAAATTAGTCAATTTAACCAGTAACATGCACTTATGGTTTCGTCATCTGTTTCACTCTTGTCTACATGCGGTTAATTTCATTGTAGTGAATTTTTGAAGAAAGTTTTAGAAATAATTGATGTGAATAATCCAGTCGTCTGTGCAACAGTAAAATCATGTGACGGTTGATTTTCGAAAGTAATGCACAAAACTGCAGGCGGATGGCTTTATATACTGCACGACTTATGGTTAAGCTCCGCCCACCACATCCCTCGCCTTCATGTAACAAACACCCTGTGGCAGAAACAAGTCACAATCGTTTATTATTAATGCATGTATTCAGGAACAAGCAAATATGCGAGTAAATGAACGTTGCCTTATTGAGGGTAAGGATCCTGTTACGTGACTCAAACGAAATCAGTCACCGACATTGCTCTGACCGCTTCTCTAAATGGATCGTTCCGCTGCTGACTTCCCTTGTCCTCATGTTCCCCACAGGTCCTCTTCGTCGCAGCAGCTGTGCTCTGCCTCGCCCAGGCGGCCCCGCAGAGATACGATACCCTGGGCGTCCTGCAGCCCGAGACACCTCGTGACCTGGGTGCCTACGAGAACATCGTCGGCGCCACCATCGACGTGCTGCCGGAAATCGTCGAGGTCTTCCGCAAGGTCTCCCAGAACCGCGACAGGGCCAACGACCCCGAGAGCGTCCAGCAGATCATGCTGGACTTCATGCCCATCACCAGGAAGGTCATGGAGGCCACAGCGAAGGCGGAGGGCAACAACATCTCGCAGGACACGTACCAGCGCTTCAACGCCGCCGAGAAGGTCATGCCTCACGTGGTCACCTTCATGAACCAGCTGCGGGAGATGGACTTCTTCGGAGTGTCCACGACCCCGACTTCGCCTGCATATGGGTATGCCCAGCACTGAGGCCTTCTGCTTGCCTTCAAACAGGCGTTCAAGCAGTTCCTCTAATCAAGCCTTAATCAGTAGTTTATATCCACTGATACCCTCTTCCCTTGTGCTTTCCCCAATTTCATATGTTCATATGTATAGTCTTTTTTTCTTTGTTTATCAGACTGAGAAGCTCTTTGCTGTGTGGATTCTTTCAGTTAATTCGAACTAGTTGAAATGTAAAGTAAAAATGTACAGTGCTGGACAAACGCAACTACCTTACCCTGATGCTGCCCACAACAATAAGTAGGTGTGATCTGCAAAATGTTGAATTATCCCACCTTCCTCAAGGCCATCATTTGCCTTTAAATCACATTTTCATGTTTGTCCATGTATTCATACAGACTGAAGGTTGTAAGGCAGAAATAATAACGTCAAAACAAAAAATCAAGTGTCGGATTCAGGTTGGCAACATAAGTTGTTTGCTAGTTGTCCGAAATTGTATATTATAGTCAGAAATACAATATGCAAACAATCACAATGTCTACTATCCTTATCAAAATTCTCTCAGATCAAACCAACTAATGAAGGCATCATCAATAGCCGAACCGTTCTGAGGGATCGTGAAAAGTCGTGAAAAGTAAATCTCAGATAAACAGTTAAATAAATGTTTGTATTCTCATGCTATAGAATTCTGTGTTCCCATGCAGTAAAATCCTTTCCTCTATATTTAATGAATAAAAAATAGCTGAAAATAAACATTTTATTTGGTATATGAAGACATTGCTGTTCCTTTCCTTCTTACGATGCCCGGCCACTTTTTTATTTATTGATGGATGGTTCTTAAGTTCTTTATCTCTCTCTCTCTCTCTCTCTCTCTCTCTCTCTCTCTCTCTCTCTCTCTCTCTCTCTCTCTCTCTCTCTCTCTCTCTCTCTCTCTCTCTCTCTCTCTCTCTTTCTCTCTCTCTCTCTCTCAAGATTAAATAAGCAGTAAAAGTCATCACAGTAATTTATGACCGCAGTGGATACTTAATATATATATATATATATATATATATATATATATATATATATTATATATATATATATGTATGTGTGTGTGTGTATGTGTGTATGTATGTATGTATGTATGTATTACAAATACAGATTCCTAAAAAAAAAAAAAATACCCAGGTTTCGTCATAGATAAAGATGTTATTTACAGTAAACTGGACTTTCCTCGAACTATGGAAAGAATGCTGACAACATTCAACTAGCTTTCTTCATATATGGATGAAGAAAATGTACACATTTTCCCTGTTTCTGTAGTAATATCGTTTACGGTATGAAGGAAAATAACTGAGGAAGAAACTTTTGCCAATTTACAATTTACTTTTGATAAAATTTCGTCTTTATTGCATGATATCAATCCACACACAAGGAACACTGCAATATCTGCTTTTTACGGCAATCTCACCAAAACCATCCTTCACTTAGAAATGATGATGATAGATGATGATGATAGAAAGGACTAGTTCATGGAATCACATGGTAGGTGCAAAACGCGAAATCAACCCATGCACATTAAAAAAAGGAAGAAAAATGCACACACTCACATACATGTATCTATGTGTATTTTTCTTCCTTTCTATATGTATGTGTGTGCGTGTTAATTCGCATATGTTTACGTATGCATGTGTGTACATATGCATAAGCATATGGTATATATACACTACATTCATCTGCTTCGTTGTTGACCAGAAAAGGAAATATTGGGCAAAACAAAGATCTTTCTTTGGAAAGGCCGAGTGCCTCCCCTTTGGATTTTAGAGACCCAAGCAATTTGCAGAAGAAAGCATGTTTTAATTTTTTTTTAGTCTGGACGCTCCATTATATATTTTTTTTCCTTTTCCTCCTCTCTCTCTCTCGCATACTCTCTCTTTCTATCTCTATCTCTGCCTCTCTCTCTCTCTCTCTCTCTCTCTCTCTCTCTCTCTCTCTCTCTCTCTCTCTTTCCCTCGCTAACAGCACCTGAACTGACCACATTTTTAACATTGTGACATCCCAAGCTTTTCGATCTTCGGGGTTTTGTAAAGGTCACTCAACCTCCCTCTCTCTACTCACCTATCTGTCCCATCTTCCTCACTCGCTCTTATTCGTGATCGCTTGCAAAAGCATCCTCCCCCCCCCCATTCCCTTCCCCTTGGGCATGGCTCCCCTCGAATCGGGTCATGTTAGGATGACCTTCCCTGGAGCTGACCTTTTGTTCTAGCCTGCACCTGTGTATTATATTGTTATTGCAGTGTAATAAGCTGGCTAAAGTGTCTGTGATCACTTCCCTGAACCGAACACAGGTTTTTACGTAATCTCTTCAACATTTTTTCTTTTTCTGTTTCATACGCGCCTCTCTTTTTCTATTTCTCGCTTTCTCTCTTTTACTCTTTCTCTCTTTCTTCTCTCTTTCTCTCTCTCTTTCTATCTTCCTCTCTTTCTTTCTCTCTCTCTCGCTTCCTCTTTCTCTTCTCCTACTCTTCTTTCTATTACTCTTTTTCTCTTTCTGTCTTTCTCTTACTCTCTCTTTCTCTCTCTCTCTCTCTCTCTCTCTCTCTCTCTCTATATATATATATATATATATATATATATATATATATAATATATATATTCTTTCAAATGATAACTATAGAGGATATGAGATATATTTGTTGTTGTTTACTGTTTAATAACATATATTTACACTTTATGATGAATTATGAGGATGTAGGATTTATCAGTGAGTGGGTGGTAAGATTATGCATATCAATCTTAGAATAAACCTGCAGTAGGCCTACCGAGAAAAAAACGTAATAGACTTATTCTTCAGCTACTCTTCCCTTTTATTGTTTCCTCTTGTCCATTTTTTTTCCTTTCTTTTTTCTTTGAGACGCTACTAATTCCAAGCTTCTACATTTCCCACTGCATCGTGGATGTGGTCTTCCTGACCTGCTTGCGTCTTCTCCCTCGCATCTTCGTCTGCGTCTACCCGTGGTTGATGAACACCCCGTGTCTATGGGGCATCTGGACGAAGGACCCGCTGACGTTGGTGTCGGCGTCCGCGCCCGCAGCCGGGGCCTCCTCGGCGGCGTCCTCCGTCGGGGTCCTCTCGGCGGCGGAGTCCTCGAAGCCGAACAAGTCGCTCCCGTGCAGCTTCAGCATGAAGCTGAAGGCGGAGGGAAGGACCTTCTCGGCGCGGTCCAGCCTCTGCAGCTCCTCCTCGGACACGCTCCGCCCCTCGGCCTCCGCCACGGCGAACAGGATCCTGCGGGTCACGGGCATGAACGCCATCAGGATCTCGAACATGTTCTGCGAGTCGAAGGGGTCGGCCTGAGAGCGAGCCATCCTGCTGGCCAGCTCCTTCAGGGTCTTGGCAACCTCGGGCAGGATGTCGATGGTCGCCGCCACCACGCCCTCGTATTTCCCCAAGTCCCTCGGCTTCTCCGGCTGAAGCACGCCCAGGGCCTCGTACGTCTGGGCGGACGCGGCGCAGGCGCACGTCGCACAGGCCAGGAGGATCTGCGGGAAGCGGGGATTCCTTTGAAGCAGAATTATCAGAAACAGAAATCAAGGAAGATTTAGGCCAGGAAGGACATCCGCGTGAATTTGCCGTTGTCACACGGTGGTGAGATTTTATGCAAATGCAAATAGATTTTATGAATCGTTTATGACCACATGAAATTGATGATGAGAGTGATGTCGACAGATGGTTATGTGAAACAAAATATTTTCCGGTCTGTTGACATCAAAGGCAACTGTGATGACGGCGAAGATGATGACCATGATCATAACAGGGCAATGCTCAACAGTAACGGTAGCAGGGAAGATGACGATAAGGGGAACTTATTGCTGGTAAGAAAGCAGTATTAAAAGTAAAGATAATGATGATAAATATAACAATAATTGTAATGATAATTGTTATAATAATCATCATAGTAATAATGAGAATTTGTGATAATAATGATAATAATAATTATTATCATTATTATCATTAGCAGTAGTAGAAGCAGTATTGTGATGATAGTAATAATGATGATAAATAAAGATAATAATAACGAAAATGACAACTAGGAATCCCCAATCAGTACAACCTTAAGTTCCCTTAACTTATAACAAACCAAAATAGGAATAAATATACAAATTGCTTTAATAATAACCAAAGCACACATTACCCCCCCACCACCACACACATACACACACACACACACCTCCTTATGCACAGCACTGTTATCCCTCGTTATCCAGCGAACGAAAGAAATCCATTGACTTACCTGGATGAACATCTTGACAAAGGAAATGGGGGACTGGAATGAGTGACAGGCAGTGCAACGAGACGCTTTTATGACATTCGTCGCGCCTTGACAGTTGCCAGAGCGTCCCACGGCCATTTCCGTTAAGAGTATTTTTATTTTTATTTATCTGTTTTTAATTCCTCTTTGCTCTCTGTCTTGCTATGGCTGGGTTTGTTCGATATTTTTTTCATTATTCATTTTCATTTCTTACTTTTTTTTGGGGGGGGTGTTTTTTTGTTTGTTGCTGTAGTTGTTTTTTGTTTTTGTTTTTGTTTTTGTGTACTTATCGTTCTTTTTCTTTCTTCTTTTCTTTGTTGTGAAAGATCTTTTTATTGTTGTCTGTCACCATCATCTACCTCTCATGTTATTTGTCTCTGTGTCTTTTCCTACAAAAGAAAGAAAATCTACAAAAAAATAATTGATAATATATATATATATATATATATATATATATATATATATATATATAAAGAAATAAAAAACATGGATTAACCCGCAGCGACATTCTTCAAATCAGACAAAAAAAGAAAGTTAGAGACATAAGAAAGAAAAAACGTCATGCTTCCTCCACTGTCATTTCTCCCTTGTAGACCTCGTCCGCCGCCCCACCCATCGCCCGACCGCACGAGACGCCACAGTATATAAAGGAGGCACTCGCTTCCAGGCACTCACTCGAGCCTCTTCCTCTGCACGACGTCGCTCGGTCACACTCTGCAACATGACACTGAAGGTTGGGTCCGCGAGGGGGAAACGCTTTTCGGACTAGAAAGATATACATATGTGTAAGAGTGGAAGCCTTGCGCGTGTGGGCCAAGTTGTTTCTAAAAGTCGTCACTTGCGCAGTTCAGTTTGCAGCTTGTCCGAAGATGAGTGGCTCGTTGTTGCATGACTGTTGTTTTGCATGGTGTGACGTTAGTGATGGATGAGACATTAATTATCCATCGCTTCTACGCTATTCAAATGGGTTGTCATTGATGGCACAACCTAGTACGGTTCAGTTTAATTGATATATCTTTTTGGGTCCACACTTGGGCCAATGCACGCGGCGCGGTAGACAGGCACTTCGACAACTTTGCGTGATCAACAAATAATCACGACTATACTACTTAAGTGTAATTACGACAGTGTTACAAGGGATGCATTTAGGCCTACGTGATTGCGATAACGTCAATGACAAAAATGATGTAAAGGTTATCATTGAATCAAAAAATATGTACTCTTAGTCAATTTAACTAGTAATATGTGCTTACGGTTTCGTCATCGTTTCACTCTTGTCTCCATGCGGTTAATTTCATTGTAGTGAATTTTTGAAGAAAGCGTTAGAAATAATTATGTAAATAATCCAGTCGTCTATGTGCAACAGTAAATCATGGTGACGGTTGATTTTCGAAAGTAATGCACAAAACTGCTGGCGGATGGCTTTATATACTGCACGACTTATGGTTAAGCTCCGCCCACATCACTCACGCCTTCATGTAACAAAACACCCTGTGGCAGAAACAAGTCACAATTCGTTTATTATTAAATGCATGTATTCAGGGAACAAGCAAATATGCGAACGTAAATCCTCATGAACGTGCGGCGTAGTGACTTGACGAGGACAGGGTAATTCGGTATTTGCGTGGACGTGACGGGTCGAACCCCTACATCAAATGGTACACAATACTCTGCCCT